GTTTTCATGTTTCGTGTAGGATATTCCTCTGCTCACTGACTCTAAATAACAGTTCTTCATTTCTCACATAATCGGTCCAACTGATCTTCTCCATCCTTCTCCAACACCACATTTCAAAGCTTTCTGGGTGTTTCTGATCTACTGCCCTAAATGTCCAAGTTTCAGCCCCATACAAAGCCATGCTCCAAATGTAGCATTTCACTAGTTTCTTTCTCAAATTTAAGTCCAATTTGCTGGTAAAAAGATTCTTCTTCTTGCTAAATGCAGCTTTTGCCATGGCAATCCTAGATTTAATTTCACGAGTACACCTTCCATCATCTGTTAACAAGCTACCCAAATATTTAAAACATTTCACATTCTTCAGTTGTTTCTTGTCTATCTTTATTGTGACTGGAGTTGGTTGTCTCGAAATTTTCATTACTTTTGTTTTTTCCACATTCATTTCCATGCCATAGCACCTTCCAATTTTGATTAGTCTATCAGTCATACCCTGTAGCACAGTTTCTTCCCTAGCCATTAACACAAGGTCATCTGCATATTTCACAGTTTGAATAATTTGCCCTCCTAATTTGAAGTCTCCAAGCCCTTCCAGAGCTTCCTTGGTAAGGCAAGACAAAAAACCACAATGTTTTGGAGATTGTATCTGTCTCCGTCCTCAGGTGAATGGGGCAGGATAGACCTACTCAGTTGGGCCTGTTTTGTCTTATATATACCAGACGATGGATAGAGTCCAAAATAAGCCTAATAATTCTGTACAGCATTCACCATCGTCAGAATCCTTTCAAGTCTATTAGCATTACAGTTCGGTAATGGTATGTGAGAAACTTGCAGGACCTGAAGATGGCCCATTTAAGGTTGAAACATGTAGTGCATGCTATATAAGTAAATAAATAATAAAGTATTGTTGCATTGTATATGTTCATTGTATATATGCAACAGGATGCAATCCTTAAAAAAATAAAAATCTAGTCAGTAGTTGATCTGTGAATCCAGAATTCACACCAGTGATTCCCCAAAATTTATACATATTTAGTTATAAGTTTCTTTGCTGTTTTTATGAACAGTTACAATAGTATACAAGGTGCGGCAATAAAGAAACCGGATTTCTTTTATGACTCATTTCCGGCCACGTCGATGACGAAGAAGAGGGTAGGGCATTGGCCCGTGGACTTCCCTCTGCCGTCACACAAAGTTTCATTCACGCGCATCAGTTAGTCTGGCCATGACCATTGTTAGAAGCGGATCGTGTGTCTGAGCTCCGTCGGAATAATGCTGAGTGCTAATGTAGAACAACGTGTTAACATCAAATTCCTCACAAAACTTGGAACATCTGCCACTGAAACTTACAATTTGTTGACAGAAGTATATGGTGATCAGTGTCTATCTCACACGCAAGTTTTTGAGTGGTTCAAGAAGTTTATGGAGGGTAGGAAAAACGTCTGGAACGATCCAAAATCGGCCGTCCTTCCACTGCGAAAACTCCAGAGAATGTGGAGAAGGTCGCTAGAATTGTTCGAAGAGATCGTCGACTGAGCATTCGAGCAATTTCTGAACTTACCAACATCAATAAGGAAAGTGTTAGACAGATTTTGCACGACGATTTGATCATGAAAAGGTGTGTGCTAAAGTGGTGCCAAAAATCCTTACCCCCCAGCAAAAGGAACATCGAATGAATTGCTGTGTTGACACTCTTGAAAACATTGAAAATGATCCTGATTTCTTCCAAAACGTAATTACGTGTGACAAAACTTGGATTCTTCAATATAATCCAGAGACTAAGCGACAATCCATGCATTGAAAGAGCCCCAAATCCCCTAGGAAGAAGAAAGCGCGCATGAGCAAATCCAAATTCAAAGCAATGATGATTGTTTTTTCGATATCCGGGGGGTAATCTACATTGATTGGGTGCCTGAAGGTCAGACTGTCAATCAGGTTTATTATAAAAATGTTTTGACGACCCTCCGTGAACGTGTGCGACGAAGGAGACCAGACATGCGGAAGAATGCCTAATGGGTTCTTCATCACGACAACGCGCCAGCACACATCGTGCTATCTGTGAAGAGGTATTTGGCAAAAAACAACATTCCAGTGTTGGAACATCCACCGTATTCTCTGGACCTAGCACTGAGCGACTTTTTTCTCTTCCCGAAAATCAAGTCTGCGCTCAAAGGGACCAGGTTCGAATCCGTGGATGCAGTGAAAGCAAAAGCGACGCAACTCTTGAAGAGCATAACGCAAGATGACCTGCAGCACTGCTTCCAACAGTGGAAAATTTGCATGGAGCGGTGTAGGGATCGGGGAGGGGACTACATTGAAGGGGATAACATTTCGATTGTCTGATTTCTTTTCAATAAAGGGTTAGAGCATGAATCCGGTTTCTTTATTGCTGCACCTTGTATCTCTTCCACTGCTGTGGAAGTTCTTCCTTACTCAAAATAGAGTATAGAAGTTTATAGATCTCAGAATGTAATGCTACTATTTTTGCAGGGTGAGAGAAAAAAGCAGTTGGCACGCACAAGATCCGGGCGTTTGTCTCGTCCACCTAGACACATGGTGAAGGATTATAAGAGGCTACATCATCTTGACTTCGCTGATGCTGATCTAGATGACTCAGATGGAGGATACTCAGACTACCAGATGAGTGAGCATGAGGCTGAGGATCCACCAGAGAAGGCTGACAGCAAGGAGTTGTTACCAGGTCAGTATCAGTGGTAGAGCACTTTTATTGGATAAAGTCTCAGCCATGAGACTGACCAACCTGACCAGAAGATTCTTTATGTTTTCCATGTCCCTACAGGTGTGTATTGTGATTACTTGTATTCCATGCATCCCCCCCCACACACACAATATTTGTTTTCAACTTCGTTATGCTTCTGTTATCTTCATCTTTGCCAAAATATGTGTTGGCATCAGTTTAATCTAATGTAGTAATTTTAGTTTTTAGGATGTAGGTAAATCTTATGTTGTAGTTGTTGGCACTGTTTTGGCATACATCACTGTAGTCATCTTCAATTGGAAGTGGATGTAGGACAGGACAGACAATCGCAGACGCAGGAAACTGAGTGCCTGCAAGATCCCCTGCACCTATGGTGAAAGGTAAATTGGTCAAACTGGCCGTCACATCTCGACTAGAATATTTGAACACATCAGGTTGTGCCTGACTAGAGAGCCAATGATTAGCAGCAGCTTAACATCCACAGTTGCTGTCCTAGCATCATCAGGGAAGCCAATGAAATGGTCAGACACCCCCACAGTTTGAACCGTGAGGACAGACACAAACTTGGAAAAGTCTAGCTGCACCTCTTTTCCTTCAACCCTTCTTCCTAAGCACATGGTCATTTCACATTGTATACCATTCCACATCTCATATTTCTTCCTACTGTGAGGTCTGTGTATATATATATATATATATATATATATGTGTGTGTGTGTATGTGTGAGTGTGTGTGTGTGTGTGTGTGTGTGTGTGTGGTGCGTCCTCAGGTTGCGGATGGAGGAGACACTCTCCGGTTTTGGAGGAAAGCTGCGAATATACTGAATAAGCAGTCGCGGACAGCCGACAACAGGTGGCCCTCCAGCTTGGGGGTTGGGCGTGGGGCTAACAACTCCTCACTGTAAAAAATCATTATGTTACGAAAATGAATACAAAGCCTCGGACGTGGACAGATTTTTTGGATAAATGACCTAAGCTAATGAAAATGATATGAGATTTGGCACTTGGAATGTACAAAGTTTGTATAGGGCAGGTTCGCTCAGGAGAGTGGCAGAAGGAATCTTAAAATATAAGTTAGATTTAGTGGGAGTACAGGAGGTCAGATGGGATGGAGGTGGCATCGCACCAGCAGGAGACTATACATTTTTCTATGGAAAAGGGAAAGAAAATCATGAATTAGGTACAGGTTTTTTCGTACATAAGAGAATCGTATCAGCAGTTAAGAGGGTAGAATTCATTAGTGATAGGACATCATATATAATACTGAAAGGTCGCTGGTGTGATATCATTGTTATGAATGTTCACGCCCCAACAGAAGATAAGATTGATGACATAAAGGATAGATTCTATGAAGAACTAGAACATGTATTTGATAAATTCCTGAAGTACCCTATGAAAATTTTGTTAGGAGATTTCAATGCCAAAGTAGGGAGGGAAGACATTTTCAAACCAGCAATTGGGAATGAGAGTTTGCATGAAATTAGTAATGATAATGAAGTTAGAGTTGTAAACTTTGCCACATCAAAAAAATCTTACTGTCAAAAGTACAATGTTCCCACATTGTAACATCCATAAATTTACTTGGACATCTCCTGATGGGAATATACACAATCAAATAGACCATATTTAATAGATAGGAGAAGGCACTGAAGTATACTTGATGTCCGATCATTCAGGGCAGCAGATTGTGATACTGACCACTACCTGGTGGTGGCAAAGGTTAGGGAAAGACTGGCAGTGAGCAAACAAACGACACACAGACTTCATATGGAGAGGTTCAATCTCAAGAAATTAAATGAAGTAGAAGCTAAAGAGCAGTATCGTGTTGAAATCTCCGATAGGTTTGTGGCTTTGGAAAACTTGGAAACTGAGGTGGCTGTTAACAAAAATTGGAAAACTATTAGAAAGAATATAAAAATGTCTGCCAAAGAGATTCTAGGTTATTATGAACCGAAGAAGCATAAGCCATGGTTCGATGAAGGATGCTCAAAATTATTAGATCAAAGAAAGCAGGCCAAATTGCAATGGTTACAGGATCAAGGCAAGTTAAATGGGGATAATCTGAACAATATAAGACGTGAAACCAGCAGGCATTTCAGGAACAAAAAGAGGGAATATCTGAAAGACAAAATTGATGAGCTTGCAATGAACAGTAAGAACAAGAACATTAGAGACATGTATAGAGGAATAAATGACTTTAAGAGGGGTACCAGCCTAACAGTAACTTAGTAAAGGATGAGAATAGTAATCTTGCAGATTCTCACAACATTTTGAATAGGTGAAGGAACTACTTCTCTCAGTTATTGAATGTACATAGGGTTAGTGATGTTAGGCAGACAGAAATCCATACAGCTGAGCCGTTAATACCTGATCCTAGCCCTTTTGATGTTGAAAGTGCTATTGCAAAATTGGAACAGTATAAATCGCCAGGTAGTGATCTAATTCCGGCAGAACTTATTCAAGCAGGAGGCGAAATATTACGTTCTAAGATCCACAATCTAATTACTTCTATTTGGCCTAAGGAAAAATTGCCTGATCAGTGGAAGGAGTCTATTATTGTACCAGTTCACAAGAAGGGTGATAAAACTGACTGTAGTAATTATCGGGGGATATCACTGCTATCAACTTCATATAAAATTTTGTTCAATATTTTTCTTTTTTTGGGGATCATCAATGTGGGTTTCGACGTAACAGATCAACTACAGATCAGATCTTTTGCATTTGTCAGATGTTGGAGGAAAAATGGGAGTACGATGAGACAGTACATCAGCTATTCATAGACTTCAGTAAAACCGATGATTCAGTTAGGAGGGAAGTATTGTACAATATTCTAATAGAGTTTGTGATACCCATGAAACTAGTAAGGTTGATGAAAATGTGTTTAAACAAAACGTATAGTAAAGTCCGTGTAGGTAAACATTTGTCTGATAATTATCCTGTCCAGAATGGTCTAAAACAAGGACAGGCTTTATCGCTACTGCTTTTCAACTTTTCTTTAGAATATGCCATTAGGAAGGTCCAGAAAAACCAGGTGGAACTGAAATTAAACGGGACACATCAGCTGTTGGTCTATGCTGATGATGTGAATCTACTGGGGGATAATGTAGATACCATAAAGAAAAACACACAAACTTTAATTGACACAAGTAAAGAGGTTGTTCTAGAACAGCCGTGTCAAACATGCGGCCCCCATAGCCACAAAGTGCGGCCCGTCACCTTTTAGAGCTAATTGATATTAAAATCAATATTAAAATTTTAGTAGAAATATTTTTTGTAAAGACAGTTTTGCAACAGACCAGAAGACAAGAAGTCTTACACAGACATAAATTAGCAGGCTGCAGGAAATTCAATGTTTTGCTATTTCTAACATAATTTCTTGTGTAAGCTCTCTTGTTACATAATGAAAAGCTGTTTGATACTTGTCAAAATGGCATTGTCTTGCTTTTTAAAACTAAAATATGTGACTTTAGGTAATAATATTGAAATTATTCCTAAATAATAAATAGAATTAAATTTCCTTGTACCAAAATCTAGTGAATATTTCTATTTTGAAGTGCGGCCCTGGACTATTATTTATAGGGCTGAGGTGGCCCTCTGTACAAGTTGAGTTTGACATGCCTGGTCTAGAAATAAACACAGAGAAAACTAAGTATATGTTACTGTCTTGTCACCAAAATGCAGGGCAGAATCATGACATAAAGATAGGAAACAGATGTTTTGAAAATGTGGCACAACGATAACAGATTGAAACCTGATTGAGGAGGAAATTAAGAGGCGATTGAACTCGGGTAATGCTTGCTATCGTTCAGTCCAGAACCTTTTGTCTTCTCATCTGTTGTCCAGAAACATAAAAATTAGAATATACAAAACTATAATTTTGCCTGTGGTTCTGTATGGGTGTGAAACTTGGTCTCTGACATTAAGGGAGGTACATAGACTGAGGGTGTTGAGGAGAATATTTGGACCAAAGAGAGATGAAGTGACGGGAGGTTGGAGAAAACTGCATAATGAGGAGCTTCATAACTTGTACTCTTCTCCAAGTATAATTAGAATGATCAAGTCAAGGAAGATGAGGTGGGCAGGTCATGTAGCACGAATGGAGGAAGTGACAGGAGATTGGAGAAAACTGCATAATTAGGAGCGTCATAACTTGTACTCTTCTCCAAGTATAATCAGAATGATCAAGTCAAGGAGGATGAGGTGGGCAGGTTATGTAGCACAAATGGGGGAGACGAGGAATGCATATAGGATATTGGTGGGGAAGCCAGAAGGAAAGAGACCACAGGGAAGACCAGGGTGTAGGTGGGTGGACAATATTAGAATGGATCTTAGAGAGAAAGAATGGGATGGTATGGATTGGATAGATCTGGCTCAGGATAGGGACCAGTGGAGGGCGCTTGTGAACACGGTAATGAACCTTGGGGTTCCATAAAATGCTGGGAAATCCTTGAGTAGCTGCAGAATTGGCGGCGGCTCCAGAAGAGCTCAGCTCCATGAGTAAGTAAGTAAGTAAGTGTGTCCACTTCCACCTCATCCACAATGAAGGTGACAACTGTACTGCATGTCAAATGTTACCATTGCTCCAACATACAGCATGGCTAGATGGTAAAATATTGTGACATGACCACTTAAAACATTTCCAGTTGCATGATAATGGCTTGATAAACAAGCTAGCCATCGCTAGACGTTAGCTATCCAACACATTGACAACAATCAAGGGACTGTTTGAGAAAAAGCACACGACAACAGAAAAACCATGGTGACAGTGGTTATCATGCAGTCTGTGCCGTATTTATGTAACACATACAGAGTTAATGGACAGAAGCAGAGGAGTATCTGTTGTTGGGAGCTCTTACCAGGCAACAACCTAATGTGTGCTACAGTGAGAAGTAGAGTGCATGAATTAGTGAGAATGTTGTGACTACTTGTAGTTACTATTTATAAGTGCCCAATAAATCCAATTACAAATCCAAACCCCATGTCTTGGTCACTAATATGTGATGCTGGTGTCAGAAATGGGATTAAACTGATTGATTAATTTGATTTATTCGATACTTTATAACTCTTAACTGTCAAGGATTATAATGCTGTCACTGATTCACACACTCTGCTTCTCACCATGGCACATGCCAAGTCTTAGTTTGTTATAGTCTTCACTAGTCATTGCTTAGTAATGGATCCCAACAGTGTTCCCTGATGCTCATGTCATTGGCTGGTGATTGTCTTGCACTTAACTGATTGCTATAAGTGTCGACTTTTAATTCTCCCTAGTGGCTCACGACTTCCAAGCCATAACTGACTACTATTCAGTCGGTTACTTTACGACTAGCATACTGCCAGTCAGGTCATGTTGGCACCAAGCCTCTTGTGGCTTATGACCAGATTATTTTTTTGGCAGCTGAACCCTTATGGTCATAGTCCTTGCATAACATCTTCTCTGACAACAAGAGGATGGGTTTGTCTCATATATGAGGGGCTGTCAGAAAGTTCCTGGACTGTTGTTGTTGTAGTAACTGCATGAGTGAAAGAAGATGAGAAGGGAGGCCAAAGTCACACCAGTCTGCCACGTGGCACCACACTGTGAACACACACTGATTTTACAGAGTGCTTTTGAACTTTTTTTTCCCTTTTGTCTGCAATGAATAGTAAAAGTGAGCAACGTGTCTTCGTCAAGTTCTATGTGAAGCTCAGTAAATCCAATACCGAAACTCTTGATATGCTTCATGAGGCTTTTGGAGAACATTCTTTAAGCTGGACAGTGGTTTTTGAATGGAATTCATGTTTCAAGGCCAGTTGAGCGTCAGTTGAAGATGAACATTCATGGTGACCAAGCACCAGCAAAATGACAGAAAATGTTGAAAAAATTCGAGAACTCATCCAAGAAGACTGTTACTGAAGAATCTGTGGACTCACAGAAACCATTGGGATCAGTTATGGAGTTTGCCAGGAGAGCTTAACAGAAAATTTGAACGTGCTGCGAAGTTTGTTCCCCAACTCTTGACAAGTGATCAAAGGCAGCGGTGCATAAACGTGTGTCTTGAGCTATGAGAAAAGGCTAATAGGAACCCAACTTTTATCTCTAGGATCATAATGGATAACAAAAGTTAGATTTACAGTTATGATCCAGAAACCAAGCAACAGTCATCACAGTGGAAGAGCCCACAGTCACCAAGAGAAAAAAAGATGCAGTAGGTCTGGAGTTCAGTAAAGAGTGTGCTCATTGTTTTTTCGACGTGAAGGGGAATTTGTTCCTCCTAACACTGCGGTAAACTCTGACTTTTATTGTGATGTTTTGAGACACTTGAGAGAAAATGTGCGATGAAAAAGACCGGAACTTTTGTGCATCCACAACTGGCTCCATCATGACAACACGCCTGCCCACATATCACTGAAAACCACAGAGTTTGTGACTAACAGCAACATGGTTATTGTTCCCTATCCTCCCTACTCACCATACTTAGTCCCCTGTTATTTCGCTTTTTTCCCAAGTTGAAAATGAAACTGAAGGGACGACATTTTGAAACTGTCTGATATCCAAAGGGAATCACAAGAGGTACTCGACAGCATTAAGGAAAATGACTTCTTTTGAAGCGTGGAAAAAATGATGGGATCGCTGTATACTATTTTAAAGGAGATGGTAGCTAGAATTGAGTAAGTTAAGCCAGGATTTCTTTTTTGACCTAGTCTGGAAACTTTCCAATAGCACCTTGTAAATATGCTTGGCTTTTATCAGGTGTGCATACTGCACTTATTGTATATTGAGAATTGTTCCTAGTCCTCTGTCAGTCCAAGCTTTGCAGAGCAGATCATGCATATCTTATTTATCTTATGCTGAAACAGCAGCTTAGGCATTTGAATGGTAATAAGTTTGACAACTGCCAAGTTAAGCCTCTTATATTCTCTGTGTCTGGCTTTGCCTTGTCCTATGCTGCAAACATAGTTATTCTCATGATTTTGTATGATTCCTACTTGTTGCCTGCACAGTTTGGCTCACTGACTCTCACTATATATCCTCAGCATGGACTTAGCTGTTGCCTCACGGCGGACACCGTAATCATACAACAACAACTGTTATTAGAATATTCCAGTGAATGAGCCCACTTCATTCAGCAGGTACAGGGTGGGGCGCAGAAACTTCCTTTTTTTGAAGGCGAATAAAAGAAAAATTATTGCTGATAGACAAAATTTATACATACTGTCATGTGTTGGGTGTATAACGCGACAAATAACTTCACGCCGTATTTGGATATAGCGAATTTTATTTCACACTCACTCTTACAATCGCATCATTTACAGTTTCGCAATTACTGCTATCTGCAGTATTACAATTACTTGGTCTGCAGATGCTAGACTACAACTGACTGGTTGACTGACTCCCTGGCTAACTCGTAACTAACTGTGAATAGTGTTCGCTGCTTCTTATTTAGCCTCGGCACGGACAAGACAGAAAACAGTTACGTGATAGGTACCGCTGTTGTCTGACGACATGTTTGCCGATAGCCTAGCAACAGTGTTGGGAGTTGGTTTACGGCTATGTAGCAACTGTGACATCCCATGTTATGTCACCACGGCATTGGTTGCCTGGCTCAGCCACTCCTCTTACATGTCACCACGGGGGGAGGGGGTGTTTACTGAGCGTTGCACACTGATGGATGGAGTGGGGGTGTGTGACGTCACTCGCGAGGTCACAGAGTTCACGCGACCCCCACCTCCTGCTATGCCATTCACGTCACACTGCTCCCTTCTAAAGGTTGTTCGTCCCGAACAGCCTAACGGTACATCCCTGTTCCTTTTTCATCCTGTTGCTGTGCTTGCTGTGTCTCCTGTTGTTTCGGCTACTCCTCTGCAGCGACTATTCTTCTTCCGTTACAACTGCTCCCCTCTTAAGACCAGGTTGTCTCAAGCAGTTTCCTGTTAACTTGCCAGAAGGTCCAGTTGTATCACATTCATGCTTCACTTTCTCTCTTGTTCATTCACTCTCTCTTGGGATGCTGGTGTTTTAAATCATGTAATTTTAAACAAAATATCTTGAAGGTGGTGGCCACCGTTCTCTATGCACTGATGCAACCGTTTTCTGAAGTTCCCCTCTGCACATTCCAACATGTGCACCAGAATTTGGGCTACTTCCTGCCAAATAACATTGTTCAGTTGAAGCGGGTTTGTGGGGCGATGTTTAAAAACCTCTGCCTTGAGGTATCCCCATAAAGAAAATTGCAGGGCATTAGATCAGATGAGTGTGCTGCCCACGGGATGTCACCTTGAAGTGAGATGAGCCGTCTGGGGAACCTTGCCCTCAAAACTGTCATCGAAGCTCAGGCTGTGTGGGCCGTGGCACCATCCTGTTGGAACCAGACATTTCCTAGATGCATTTCTTCAAGAGCTGGTTCAAAAAAGCTTTTAATCGTCCACATACCGCTGTGAATTGACAGTAACTGCATGATTGTCTTCTTCAAAAAATAAGGGCCAATAACTCCCACTCTCGACAGTGCACACTGTGAAGTGGCCTCATGGAGCTCTTGTGGGATTGTTACCACTCCAATAGCGCATATTCTGCTTGTTGACATATCCGGATAGGTGAAAATGTGCCTCATCACTAAAGAAAACAAGTGCGTCAGGGGATAAAGTTTCCAGTAATGTTTCACACACTGTTATTCGGTTCTGGAAATCACGTGGTGACAATTCTTGCACAACAACCATCTTATAGGGATGGAAATGAAGATATTCGTGAAGAATTTGGTGCATTGAACGATTGGATATGTCTAGGGCGACTGCATGTTTGCCAGCGGAGCTTCTTGGAGATCTCAAAATCGACTGTCGAACTGCCTCCACATTTTCTGACATTGTAATGGTCCGTTGTCATCCTGATGATTTTTTCACCACACTCCCGGTTATCCTAAAGTTCTCTACCCACAAAACAATCGATTTCCGGCCGGGAACCGGACCTCTGGGTTTAATTCTGAAGTGAGTACGGAACGCACGCTGCACCACCACATAGGAATGGTTGTTCGAAAAATAGGCTTCGACAGCAAACGCACGCTGCTCACTCGTCCACCTCATGTTTCCTACTGAGGGGTGTTAGACAGAAACTTCCGCGACTGCTGCGTTTGCTGAGCCTATCCCCACTTTCCTGCGACCTCCCCTCCCTTCACAATGCGTCTTCACAAAAAGGAAGTTCCTGCGCCCCACCCTGTATAACTGGAAGACTTCTGTCTTCTGGAACTTCGCTGTACTCCACACCATTATATCCCAGAAGACAGAACTCTTCATAACTATTACTGTGAGAACATCAAATTCAACACAGGCATATCTGTTAACAGAAAATTTTATGAATACTTATTTTTAGCCTGTACTGTTTGTAGGAAATGTGATGGCAATAGTAGGAATTCCATATCAAATGAATGATGGATTGCATTTGTACTATGTACCAACTTACTTTTTTTTTTTAATACACTTGATATTTGAATTTTGCTGTGCAGTGGCAAAAATTGAATTAATACTGAGGAAATGTTGACTATCAAAAGAAATAAATTTTGAACTTGAAGCTGACTGCAAACTCTTCAGGTGCATATTCCTATGATTGTAGTACATACTCTGCTGTAGATTCTAACTGAGGTTAGCTCTTTCTGAGGGACCCAACAGAGTAGGTATCTTCCTCTTCACCTGAAGACCGAAATAGATCTAGTTTCCGAAATGTGTTTTCTAGAATACCAGATGATGGACAGAGTTTGAAAAACCAGTTAATTCTGAATACTGTGCTGTATTTCATCATGCTTATATCACACAGGATTAGCAGTACCGAAGCGCAAGATCTCGTCACATTTCCGTTGTCCAACATGTCAGAAGATATACCTTGGATATAGCCGAATGTCTCGGCACTTTGAAATGTATCCAGACCATGGAAATGCTGAGCAACTGCAAATGCCAAATCGAACTGGCAACAGTAGTAACAACAATGACAACAATGAGGAGGAGCAGACACCTACCAATTCAGGTAAGGGAAATTCTCTCTGTCTCTATGGCTTTACAGCCCTTTGGAACTTAGCCACTTTTTCAGTTTCTTAATCCTATACACAGTCAGTAGGACTCCTTGGACAGGGGATCAGCCCATTGCAAGGCCGCTACCTAAACACAGAATGAATGCACACAGACATTCATGCCTTGAGTGGGATTTGAACCCACGACCCCAGTCTTTCAGCGGGCACAGATGGTTCATGCCTAGGACTGCACAATCACTCTGATCAACAAGTAAGGGAAATAGGATTCTTTAATGTTTGTGAAAACGTGATATTCGAACCTGGAAAAAACATTTATTTCTCAACATGTCCTTCGCACTTGTCGCATTGCATTGCCAATGTGTCAGTGCATCGAAACCCACTTCATAGAAGTCTTTTGACTGTTGTCTCAGCCACTTCTGCATCTCCATTTCTACCTCTTCATCATCAGCCAAATGTTTGCTTTGATTTGGGTTGGTAGCACCCATGTTTTGTCCCCAGTAACAGTCCTGTTAAGCATATCTTCTCTTCATGTGCATACCGCAAGAGACGTTGCAAAGACAGACCCATTGGGTTAATTTTTTCTCGGTCCTTCAGTTCCCTGGGTACCCACTGTGTGCACACCTTCTGAAACTTCAAATAAACATGCATTATGCTGTATGCTAAACCATGGGAATGCCCTAATGCAGTTGTTACACTATCATTATCCTCCTGTCAGCTCGAATCAACACTTCCACCCACTGCTGAGTTGCTTCTGCCACAATATCAACAGGGCGACCTGGTCGGGCATCATCTGTGACTTTTGAACGTCCTTGATAGAATTTCTTGACACAATTGTGAACCGTTTTATGCGACAAACACTTTCCACTGTAACAGAAAATATTTCTTTATGAATATCCTTTGCATTGAGTCCTTTTTCCCACAAAAAACGCACAAGAGAACACTGCCCTTCTGTTGTACAGTCCTTAAGCATGTTCGCCATTTTGACTACTGAAACCAGTCTCTGACCATGCTTGTGTGCATCTGCTACCTAGACTGTCATCAAGCTGGACTGTGCTGCTACCTAGTAGTACACATAGGAAACCTATTGCTTCCTATTCCATTTTTGTCCTATTTTCTGACTCTCCTATGTACAAGCAGTACCCATCAAAAACTTTATCACTATCAGTGAATGTGGACATGCATGCACATATACAAAGACAAATTCATGTTATATAAAATGTGACAAATTCATGGTTCAGCTCTGGATATTTGTTAGGACTAATTCAAGAACAATGTGATGGATTTAACCCCAAATTATTTAGTTTATGCATTATTGGTTTTTTTTTGCCTCTTTTCCCTATTTGAAAAAATGAAAACCAGTTTAAATGATCACCATGCTGTCCATATGCCTGTGTGTCTGTAATCAACTCCTGAATGGCTGAACCAATCTTTATGATTATGTGTATCATGTCACCGGAGCCCATCTCAATGGTGTACTTCATAACCCCCCCCCCAACAGTCTGTGTGTCTGTATGTGTATCCCATTATTGTTGCTAGGCAACAGCTGAGTAAAAACATTACCGCAGCAACAGATACAACAATAAAATTGTTGGACACATCATTTGCTATGCCATCCATGTTATATCAAGGAAGGTAGGCGATTAGTTCTTCCCACAACTTCCTTGTATATCACAAATTGTCAATGAAAAATCCGTCGAGTGTAACAATGTTTTTAGTTCACTTATTTATCTCACTTGCCTCACATGTTTCGGTTCAAGAGAAACCATCATCAGAGGCACGCATTACAAACACATGAAAACACTGGCGCTGCTTAACGTACACAGTATGTAAACTGTGTGGACGCTGTTACAGATGTCGAAGTGTAAAAGCACAACACTTTCTAGTAGCATTGAATGCACGTACAATTCTTGCAGTCCATCTGAAAATTGCCCTCAAATTGAGCCGTCAATGTTAAAATATTTAAACGTTTAAAACATTTAAAGTAAAATGTTCGGCTCCTTCTTGTTGAGTTGTCCCGATGATGGGAAGCGTCAACTTGAGGTTGTGTAGGCTTATGGTTGGATGTTTCTTACGCGTTGAGTGTTGTGTTCCTTGTATATTATTATTATTATTTCTCATATGTGTATTAATTAATTTACAAAGCTGTAAGTTCCTGCAGTTTTATTATAGATGCATTTGGTGTGAAATGTAGAATCGCTGCAGCTCATGCATTTTCATTTGATGAAGTTCTTTCAAACAAACTTGTCACTCTGCCTATCCATCATGTTCAGTGAAGTGACTCCCTCCCCCCATGTGCGTTTAACATAGATTGGAGAATTGACCTACATTTATAGCTACATGTCGCCAACCAGATATGAGATCTATGAAGTGACTGAGACTCCAGTGTTTATTTTGACTGTACAGTGGCATTTCCATGGACTGATAATGTCTACTGCATGTGCCACCAGCAGAAAGTGTATTGGTGTTGTTGATTGCAAGTTTTTGTACATTGCATGCCACTGGCTTTTTCCCCACTTTTCCTTTTGCTCCAACAGTCTATGTCTGGCTACATGAATGCAGATGTTCACATGTCCCTCTGCCCATACTTCATGAACTGATCAAGTGTAAATGCATGTTGCTTGTGTTTATTAATTTGAAAGCCTAGATGTGTGTCTGTTCAAACTGATTAATGTATGAACTTGGGGGGGGGAGTATGCAAAGGTGCCAATTATGGGATTAATTGCTTACAATCATACATATTTAATTAAACATTTTGACTAAAAGTTCAGCCCCCCCTCCCCCCTGCAGTTTCATGTCTGAGGAAGTATAGATGCATATTGTGCTAGTACATATGGTAACTTGCATACAGAAGACCATCAGGATGACTCGGTAGCTTAGTGGTTAGCATGCAAAATTGGGATTTAAAAGGTTTCAAATTCCATAACACTTTCATTGATATCAAAAATAAAAATAAAAGAAAATGGAGATCTGTTGGTGCATTGGCAGCCAGTTATCTGAATGCAAAAATAAAGCAATCTGTGACATCTGCATGGTAGATGCACATGAGACAATGAACAGTGTCCATCATAATTACAGTGTAATTTATTTCTTGCTGTTTGCAGAGCCCAGTGACACAGCAAAGGTTGGCATGGCTGTCAAAAGCACAGGTCTGAACGGTTTAGTTTGCACAGGAACTGGTAGACGTCGTGGGAAGAGAAGAGGTCCTTGGGCATATACAACACCTGAAGCTCGTTCCCAAAAGCGGAAAGGCAAACTGCGTGAGGTTTGACATTTTTCCATGTAGTATAATTTTGTAGTTACTATGTTTGTTAGATTTTATATCCTGTATTATAAAAAATATGGCTTCACATTTGTTTCTTGTACTGGAATACTTAAAGGGCCAAGCAAGCTGCGGTATTTACATGAAAGAATGGTGTAATAATCTCTGACATCTCTATGGTTATACAAGGAATATTTTCACTCTGTGGACTGGGTTCACAGCTCTGCGTTTCACAGCAGTCTGTGTGCTGCTGGCTGTGAGGCACATACAAATTTTGCTGATGAATCATAATGTCTGATGGCCATTTATGTTCAGAATGAAATAGTTACAATTCAAAGATCACAGGAGGTGTTGAAAATGCTGTTCTCTTTACTTGTAGATTTTTTCACAGTTAATTGTTTTATTAAAAAAAACGGGTAAAACAATCATTTTGCACTTACAGCACACCACACACCAACTTTCACTGGATGACTTCAGCAGTTGTGTTGCTGCTCTTGACTAGACCTTTCAATGATTTTCTGACTTCTCACTCAGCACTCAACACATAGGTTTTTGTTTCTTGTCTGTTAAGAGTCCTGTTCTAAGTTTATTCACCAAATTATGAATTGTTTGTTAGCTGGGAATTCTTTTCATCATGAAATTTTTTCCGAAACTTTATGGCAGATCCATATTTCACATAGGTGTCATGCAGAAATACACATTTCTCTAAAGTATACTGCACCATGAAGTTCTACATTGCTCACTAACTGTAACTGAGAACAAATAGCTAGTGGAGCTGATAACTGCTGCCTACTGCTGACAGATCATAAAACTCCCATGCATGAATTGCACTTCTCCCCATGTAACATAATACTGTCAAGTGGTCCACAAGTTAATTGCCTCCCTTCATTCCAAACATTATTGACCGTCAGGCATGCTGATTCAAGGACAAAATTAGTATGCACCTCACAGCAAGTCTAGCACCAGCCACTGTGAAGTGCAGAGCTGTGGACCTGGCCCACAAAGTAAAATTATTCCCTGTATATCAATGTCATCTTTTATGATATTACATCTTGTTGCCCTGTTATAGAATAGAATGTTTGCAGTGATCTAGTTCTGTTCTGAAAACAATAAGAAGTCCCATCCCTTGGTTTTGCAGGCCAGAAAGTGGTTAGTCCAGCTCCAGAAGGAATCTTCATGCATGTTTTGTGCTGACAGCACTTCACATTGTATTTGTGTAATGATAAATCGTCAGTGACATAGCCATCAGTTGAAACAGTGTATGCAACATGGTATCACTACAGTAATCATATCTAAGAAAATAGCTGTGGCCCCCTTCAGAGGGGCATGACAGTTGCCAGTGGTTGAAATTTGCATATTATATGTGCTGCACATTTCTGTTCTTATAAAGTATTGGCATGTTGTACTCTACTTTCCTGGCCATGTGCTGCATTATTCCACGATTCCAAGAACTTAGTATATATGGAGGAACATTACATTTTTTCAGTACTGATACCATAACTGCAGAGAAAAAACATGGTATCAGCCTTGTAGTACCAGGAGATAATCTCTGTTCCTATTTTATAAATCTTTACCCCCTGGAGTTAAAATTAGGTCACCAACTCACAGTACCAGAAGATTTGAAATCCCCAGTTCTGGGACAGTAAAGTTTAAAGAGACAAAAGTAGGACAGAGTCTGATGGAGTTCAGACATGTATGTGTTTGGATAAAATCATCAATCAACACATCTGTGTACAAGTTTTTTTAAGCTTCGATCTCGTTAATGTAATGTCATACCCATGCCTTGTTGGTGTGGCACAGTATCTTGCCCATCACACTTATTTGCTTGGCTTCAAGGTTATACTGCAAGTCATATTACATGTAATAAAAGCCAGAAAGTGATTCTTGCTGAAGTATGCTTTAACACTGCCTTCCTGCTCCACCCTCATGCACAGATTTTATATACACTGTTATCCCTTTCAGACATTGATGACAGAATTCTTTGTTGACGTTATTCTTTCATGCATAACAATGGGATGCGTGAAAATATTGTAACATGTTTTGTCTACTGAAGACACGGTTCAGATAGTTAATTGGTTTATTTAACAACCTACGAATCGTAACTACAATTAATTATAACACAGTTGCGGGTTTACACAATTTCTAAACCCTACACAATAATCTGTTCACTCTATCTTCAATAGCCTTTAAGAGCCTAGCGACACCGTATGGAGACCTTTAAAGTGTAGCCGAGTGGCTGTGCGACACCGTATGGGTATGCGCAGTCCATGTATGCGCACAGTGTTTTAAAATAATTTTAAGACAGAAATTCTTGTTCTACTTACATTATTTTTGGGCACCAGCTTTATAAATAGACAGTCTTCCCTCTTGCATCATCTGACTGAATGTTGCCTTCATGTGGTACTGTTGGAAACATCCAGAAATGCAGAGTCCAACGTCGCAATTCATGCACTTTGTCCGGATGTAACTCCCACGCGAAGAACACACACGACATCTCAGTCTTGTATTAGAGGAAGTCAGCCAGTGATGTCAAGTGGCCTCCTCTAATCGAGATATCGCTGATGACACAGCAGGAGGTTGACCCATGAACCGTTGAGGGTGAGGTTGAAATTGCGATGTTTTATAAGCGTTACGAACACAATGCACTAGGCTTGAACGTTCTGACAATGTGGGGCTATTCCGAGAACAGTACCTCTGTGTGGCTAGTCTGAGATATACAGTGTAACAGTTTCTGAAGGACAAAGTACGATAAGACTTCAACCACACTTGTGCATAGAGAAAGGTTCTGACGTGACTGGAGAATGTGCAATACAAACATAAACTTCCACCCCTTTTGCCAGATAAGACATAGTAAGACACGTTGTCAGCACCATGCATTTATACTGCAGAAAAGTTTTGTGCAGAAAATGTATGCATATTTGTGGACAGATGCTCGAAATTGGGAAAAGATTTCTTTTTGGAATCAGTGTAACAATTTTTACAGATTTTAAAATCTGTAAATTACAATATCTGATTCTATATTCTTTCTAGATAAAAGCAGCGTTTATTTCATTCGTTTATCACAAAAATTGTAGAAATCACAACATTTTCAGTGACATGCTTACAATTTTTAATACTCCACAATGGTGGGCATTTAAATTAACTCCGGCCTGCTGCCATTACTGGAATTTAAATGGCCCATCTATTAAAGGTTAGTCTTCACTTATTCCCAGTACAATACGGGAGCTATACCAGTGTCACTGTATTACATACGCCCAATACCTTCTCACACTATCACCTCTGATCACATGTTCCGGTATTCTTCACGTTCACGATTCACTCGCTACAACTGAACTCGGTGACTGCTACAATTCAACTGACTGCTTAGGCATTCCAGTTCTCTTATAAACCTTCAGCCAGACAGCGGAAATTGCAATTTGCTTCCCTGTTGCATAATCGTCATGTTTACAGGCGTTGCTGGGCAAAGCTGCCAAGAGTTGTTTATTGCTGCGTAGCAACCAGCGTGCTTTGGCTTCGCTTGGAGAAACACCGCTTTCCTTACTGTTGCGTAACTTGGCAACCGACTGTTTATCATGGGTCTGTCTTCATCGTAACTCGTTCCACCTCCCGTTGCCCAGCAACTGTTAGACATGTCACAATATATTGTTATATATTTCTTAATTTTTGCGAAAAGAAAAGAGGATGCTTGAACTGTGTTGAGATATGGTATTATAGTTGCATTACAAATGGTAATTACTTTATGCAAGGTAATATAAACTATTTTAATGTATTGTCACTTGTATGTAGTGACTGTAGATGAGTTCTGGATTGATGATGGGTATTATTGGACGCTTTGATACAGCACGTGACTACACTTTACAGGTCACTGTTAAACACACAGTAGTGTCCACAGTCACATCTTCCCTTCCGTTCCTTGGTAGCGGCTTCCAGTAATGGATGTTCCTCTTCCTCTGGGTTCCAAAAATGTCCCTAGCTTCTCAGAGCAACAGCTCACAATGACTGAACCACAGTAGAATTCGCCTAACTCATGAACCAATTCTTCACTGACTGACTGACTGACTGACTGACTGACTCAGTCCTCGTTTACTTGTCCTACTTATAATGTCTTAGCGTGGACCATGTAGAAAACTCTGCTCTTCTGTTGCACTGAAATTGTTGCATTCATGTCCGAGTAGCATCTCACATGCTGCTATACTGTGCATGTCACATACTCTGAAGTGTATAGTTTGGAGTAGCCATGGCTTAGTTTTTCCTGTGTGCTTCAGTGTCACAGACCAACAGTGGTAAGCTTGACCAGAGGAGGCAGTCATCACACTGCACTGACTACAGATATCACATATTTTCCTAACACAAACATAGAGCCCATTATCATTATTCAGGAGTAATTACTGTTTGAAATGCAAATTGCTGAGAGAAGTTTTAGTGCTGAAATAAAACAATATGAGGCTGAGAGGATAATATTAGAACACTGTAACATGTTACCTTACGTCCATCACCGCGACAACTGCTACAATCGGAACGGACACTTCCACGACAACAAATACGTGGTAATTGTGGAGTTCCCGCAGCAACAAATCATAGCAACGAATTGTTGTTGAGTAACAACGGATGAGACGAGACACATTACTGGTGTAATCTATAAGAAACGTTCCCGTAACAACGGACTGCCTGAACAGCAGTAATGGAACCGCAAGAAATTATGTCTGGTATCCGGTCCACATAACCCCTATATAAGCAGAGCTTACGACACGTACAGAGCATTGAGTACTGAGCATAGAATATTGGAGTATTGAGAATGAGACAATCTTGGGATAGCTGCCACCAGAGACAGTCGAGATCCAACCACGGCCAAGGATAGTTGAGACGTCACATTGAAGTAGAAGCAGTAGTTGTGGTACTGCAAGTGGTAATAATTGTAAGGTGTGTAAGAGTGAGTGTCCAATAAAGATTCGCTAAATCCGAGACCCATGTAAAGTTATTTGTCACGTGACATACCCAACACGTGACAATACATTTTAGAGAACTGATCCGTGATTAGGCATGTCGGATTGAAGTGGCCTTCAGTAAGGTCCTGTAGCAGGTGTATGGAATTTTTTAACTTCTGGATGAGTGGGTTTTTAATATTATAGACCAATAAAGAAAGCTTGCACATTTTTCTGTTAACAAGAAGTAATATCCTCTGGACATTTCTATTCAGAGGAGTGATTTTTGTCAAGTTTACAGTGAACAGTTGCAAAAATGTGCCTGTTAGTTTTGTACATAACACAATTGCTGAACAGATTTTCATGAAATTTGACATTAGCGATTTTTACAAACATTTGTCATTCCATTCTAATTCACCTAGAACTGGGCAATAATGGATAGTTTACATGTACATCTACATTCATCTCAAGTATAAATTGCTAGATATTTATTAGAGTGATAAATGTTTTCAACATTATTCTTTCTTCTTGGATTTTATGTTGTCTAACAGAAGATTCATATGTAAGATTTGAGGCTTTCACGGCGGTGACTATGAAGAAAGCAGTCTTCTGGGATTTGGCGCCGTGTATATGTGGTGTTAACCGACGTTTCGGAGGATCGTATCGCCTCCATCTTCAGGGTAGAAGAAAAAGTTAAGAATTCTGCAAGCGACAAGACCGTGAGAACGGTAGTAGCAGACTCGGTCTTGTCGCTTGCAGAATTCTTACACTTTTTCTTCTACCCTGAAGATGGAGGCGATACGATCCTCCGAAACGTCGGTTAACACCACATATACACGGCGCCAAATCCCAGAAGACTGCTTTCTTCAGAAGATTCATAGTTTTAGAAGGCATGTTTCCATAAAGGCTGAAGAAGTGTATGGTAATTTATGTTTCAGAAGGTTAAGTGAGATTTTGTTATGAAAATGGCCCTGAGATGTAACATTTGTGAACTAAAGGTGGATAATTCATGTCTGAAGTATGAAAGCAAGTACAAAGTGACATTTAATATGAAACTTGTTGACATGTTCAGGTATTGGCGACATGTGAGGCAAATGAACTGGCAGAGGTTGCAGGCCCTGCTGTGGCAGGTGTTCTGTCACTCTGGGACTTGTTGTTGCTTCGAGTGGAAGCTGTGAGAGCTGAGGAGAGCTACGTTGTCACTTTGTGTGATGAGCTACAAGCACTGCTGGAGAAAGTGCGAGCTGTTGCTAGTGAGATCCTCAAGCCTCAGGATGTTAAGGCTGACAGCAAAGAACAGCAATTGCAGGTAAATCTGGCAGAATCGTCTGAATGTTATGTTCTTGTAAGCTTTGACAAAACATTGACATTTTAAGAGAAAAGCATATCATATTCTGTGCCGTTTGGTGTTAGTACCAGGTTTGCAGCATGTGAAAATTTTCGGAGATACGTGTTCATGGCGTGATGCTAATTAAAAAGGTAAAGGTAAAGCTGTCCCTGTAACAGGCTGTGAAGGCCCATGGGGGTGTAAGAGGTCAGGCCCCCACATCTTCTAGACACTTGGCTTACAGATGGCTTAAGTTTGTCAGCTTTATGCGCCAGCCACCCTTTACCCCACAGGAATCTTCCTTGTACTTATTTCTGTTAGAGACTGAGTGAACCCCAGGGCTATATTGCTGCTGGAAGGATTGGGTAAATTGAAAAAATTCAGTGACCTCATTGGGAATCGAACCTGTGACTTTCTGGCTTGTAGTATAATGCCTTAACCAACTACGTTGTCGCATGCACCCTGATGCTTAAGTACAGAGGTAAATTTCTCTTTACATTTTCAGATTTCCATATTTTGTTGAATGGTTTTGATGAACTTTGTAGAATTCATGTAAGATTAATATTAAATAATAGATTCTAAGAACTGATTGATGTCTCTGTCTCCAGCTTCAGGACAAAGTCCTATGTACAACCCTTGGAGTGGCCAGTGGGACATATCTTGTGGATAATCATAAGTTGCAGCACTTCACTGGAGCCAGATTACCTCCAGATGAGCAAGCAGTTAAACGGATGAGAATGGACATACAGAATGATGAAGAGGTAGAAAATGAAGGTAGAGAAACTGGAAGTGTGACTGCAAATCGTGATATGACGGAGGAAAGTGGTGTGAACAGTGGTAGAGATGATGACCACGTTCCAAAGAACAAAGATACTGATTGCCCAGAAGTTCTTTCAGCTCTCACATTAGTTGCCAAATCAGCTGTAGGTCAGGGATCTAAAAGGGACCAGTCACTTGCCCCTGCTCGGACGTCAGGGGATGATGGTTCCAAAGCGATAGCCGAAGTGACAAAAAGTGAAGTTTTCTTGCTGTCAGGTAAGAGCAGTGACACGTGTGCAAAGCCTGCTTCTGGGAGTGCTGGACACATTATCGATTCAAGCACAAGATTGCAGCAGTCAGACCATCCATCTGAGTTTCCAAACTGTGAGCAGCAAACACAGGATTATCAGACTGTAGATGACATTGTAAACGAGAGACTGAAGAATCTCACTGGTGGGAGCAATTTGGTAGACTTTTCAGAGGCAGTGCCCATGAGCACCGTGTCAGCATCCTCCACCAATATTTCAAAGCCATCCATTGTTTCTTCGCAAGATCTGATGGATAGGCTCGGTCAGTTTCGTTCTCTGCGATTACCTAGTGACATCACAAGTAATGCAGTATCATCATTTGATCCAGAAATTGCCTTGGCTGCAATGGGTGAAGGTGAACCCGACTCTGTTAATGCTTCAAATCAACATTTCCCTTCTACGTTACAGCAAATGGAAGCTGTACCTAGTGATTCTGGTTCATCATTTGATCCTGAAGTTGCATTGGTTGCAATGGGTGAAGGAGAACAGTCAACATCAGTACAGCTCCAGCATACTAGGTATCAGGAAATTGATAATGTGCCAAATGGATCAACATTCACTCCAGAAGATGCTCTGGTGGTGATGGGAGAAGGGGAACATAGCCCTGTTGCGGGTGCGACACTTCCGCAGTTTCACAACACCCTGCCACACATGGCAGACATTACAAATGATGCAAGACCTTCATTCGATCCCGAAATTGCTTTGGCTGCAATGGGAGAAGGAGAGCAGGTCACAGATGGTGGACCAACAGAAAACCAGTTTCAGTCTGCACTACCACAAATCAATATGAATATGTCTGGCAGCACTGGAACACCGTTTGATCCTGATGCAGCCTTAGCAGCATTGGATGAGAGGGACAAATCAGCAAATGAAATCGAGAATCAGTTTTCCTCCGTAGGAAATGTGTCAGGTAACTCATACAGTTCAGGAATGGATCTTGGTGATACTGGTGATAATGAAAGTAATAAATCGGTTCCACGATGTACAGAGAATGTGACTCATGTTTCAAGGTTTGATCCAAATATGGCCCTGGTCGCTATGGAGGAAGAACATACCATCACAGCCAATGAATCGGCACACATTCCTTATGAACCCCCCTTACCACAGACAAGTACGTCAGGTGAACAAGGTTCTTCATTTGATCCAGAAATTGCACTAGCTGCTATAGGTGATGGAGAGTCTGTTCAAACATGCACATCTTCACAGAGACCGCATGCACGTGTTCCCATTGTCAACACAGGATCTTTCCAGCTGCACTGTGGACCTGATCTGGGACTAGCCGACACAAGTATGGATGTGAGTCTAGATGAATCAGGCCCAGAAATTGACTTTGAGGCCCTTAGTGAAGAATTCAGTAGGAACACAAGGCACAGGTGATGCAACGAAAAGGCCAGTGAAGGCCACTGTTAATTCATGATACCAGATATTTATAGAGGCTGTGAGTTGGTCTCAGAGGCGATATTACCTTAAGTACATCATCTTAGAACATAGTCTTTGTTGTGTGAACAAAGAAGAGTTAACAGAATAGGCAAATTCTGGGCTTCAGTGATCAGTGTGGAAAATGACAGCGGAGACAATGATAATGCAAACAGAATGTCAAGTCACTGTGAGATTTGGTTTATTTTAAGGTTTTCTTTCTTGTCCCCACACTAGTTACATTGGTCTAGCATAAAATTAAATTTTGTACCTTGAAGTAGGGAGAAATATCATTTTCCAATCAAGCCATTCATTTTCCTATAAGAGATATGTATTTGAAAAAATGTCTTTATTGTATAAAATGTTACTTTTCCTATTTTACTATGAACTAATTCACTGACTGTGTAAATATGGCATGATTGTATATATAAATAATGTATTCTCATCAAGTTTGTAAAGTCTTTAAGTCTGTGATGCTCACTTTTGCTATCTTGATGGGTGCTGCATCATTGTTACAAATCACTTAACATGGTTTTATGTTGCTAATTTATTGAACCTAGTTTACAGCAGTGCAGTGTAAATACATGAAATGAACTGAAATGGACCACAATGGAAAACAGATGTTTTACATATGCATATAAGTGTACTGTATGCAAAATTCTAAAGTGACACACTGTTAATAAAACACAGAAGGAAATACTTTGGTAAAACCAGAGATGCTGCATGTTAATTATCTTACTGCCCCCTAAATACTGTCATGTAATTTGTTGTCAACAGGATAAAAAGCAGCTTTTCAGTATATGGCATTATATCTTCTTCATAGTTGATAAACTAAGTTATATTTACAAATGATACAAAACTACATAAAGCCAAGGTAGCTCAGTGCAGTTTACAGCAGAGTCATTAGGGACATTTTTTCTTTAGTACAGTGTCCTGGATGACTTTAAACCCCCCCTGCCTCTTAACACAATAGACTATATGAATAGCTCCTTTCCCAGGTTCAAAACAGGTTTAATGAGATGTTCGTGACCATCCAGAGCCAACATCTGAAATTATGAACCTTCATTATGAGAGGAGCCACAAAGATAGGAAATATTTAATTTTGGCTAGCATTTCTGTCCCTTTCACAATGAAAGGTTGCAAAACTGCTCTTATTATTTTCGCTGTCTCTCTCTTGCCATCCGTCAGTCTGCATGCATAAATTCAAGAACTGCAGAATGTACGTATTGTCTTGAACTCTGATAATGGGAAGTTCTATCAGAAGCGTCGACATGTTCCGATTTGGACAAAATTGGACAATAATAACACACCCTTTGAATGAAGACCTACATGCATTTCTGCATACGTCTGAAGCATAATTGACTGACTATTTCAAAGTCAAAGTCACTTTGCGACAGACGGTCAGTGAGTCTGTCTGTCTTGGTGTCGAGCCCCAGATGTTTCTTTTTAGATGAAAGTTGCTGTCCTGTTCATGTGGGGTGCCCTCTCTGATGAGAGGTCAGGTCTGTCATTTGTCAGTTATAGTCAATAGTATTAGACCATTGTCACTATGTACACTTATTTACAATTTAGTCTTCATATCTGGTATGTATAATATGTCAGTCTAGGCTCAGTACAACACACTATGCCCTATTTCTAGTAGTATTCACTGTCGTGGCAGTCTAGTCACTTGAACATTTGTATGCCTGACTGCCGGCCAAGTTTAAGCCTCTTATACTTTCTATGTTGGGCTTCGCCTTGTCTGATGTTGAGAATCTTCTCATTATCATGATTTTGTATGACTTCTGCTTGTTGCCTGCATAATTTTGTTCTATGGTCATATGCATACGGGATTTTGAATGACATGTGCAAATTGCGGACCCATGTGCGCCTTGGAAAATTGCCAGTTGTGCAGAGAACCTTGTTTTGCAGGCGCTGTAATTTCACTAGATGGGTGATTTACAAATGGAATATTTCGTCGACAGTTACAAGAGAAGTAGACCCCCTGAGTCTTATCTTCATTAATTTTAATATTCCAGCGCTCACGCCAAGTCTGCATTGAGCTGAGACCATGCTGGAGTTTTCTAACAACAATACCCTCCATGCGATCTCGCATACAGACAGGTGTCATCCACAAAGAGGGCCGGGTGAACACCATGTGTTTAGTGGGTGTCATTAATATACAAGTTGAAAAGAGTAGGGGACGGGACCGAGCCTTGTGGCACCCCTGCTTGCATTTCACTTGGCGCTGACATTTCGCCTTCAACTGAAACCCTGAATTTACGTTGAGAAAGAAAGGACCCAATAAGCTTGGTCAAATTGTTCAAGAATTGCAGTTTTGATAACTTATACAGCAAGCCTGAGTGCCACGTGGTATCAGAGGCTTTTTTCAACATCCAAGAACACCGCAGCTATAGAAATGTTATTGTTGAAATTAGGGGTCACGTGGTCTGCCAGCCTCATACATTGCAATGTCGTGCTGTGACATGGACGAAAACCAAACTGGCTTGCGTTGAGCAGGCCTCTCTCTACATTATGTTTCTGAAGTAATTTCAAAATCACTTTTTCGAATAGGTTTCCTGTCATGGACAGGAGGCTGATCGTATGTGAATTTTGAGGGAATTTCGGGTCTTTACCTGGTTTAGGTCACACAGGTCATGCGGCATGATCTGAATTTCCAATCAGTCGGCAATTTCATTGGATCTTTCTAAAGGATGAAATTTAAGGCCAGAAGCACCATGAATAGCAGATGATGCCCTTGGTCCATCCCTCTTTAAGAGGGATTTCGCAATGGGCCATATACCCTGAGGTGTGACTTCAGCGTTACCTATCTTTGTTTCCCACCGTTCAAGTGCCTTTTTCCGAGTCATTCGTCTGATTGATTTTGTGACCTAGTTGACTGCAGCTTTACACGCTGGATCTCTGGTTTCTTGCCACAATTTTCATAGCCTCTGCTAATGTTTAACAAATGAGCTAGACCAGGGAGATCGTTGATTATGTCCGAAAGTGTAACTTGTAGACAACCTATATGCTGAAGCAATAGAGGCTGCAAAATCACGCTCCGCTTTATCGGCTTCTACCCCCGATTTAATTTCTATTTCAGGTGATATTATTCATAACTCGGAGGCGAGGTTTTGAAACCATTCCCAATCTGAATTTTTCAATAGGTTCTGAAAGATTCTTAATTTTAACATGATCCAGTTCAGTCAAAGTCAAAGTCACATTGCAACTGACTGTCAGTCAGTCAGTCAGTCTGTCTTGGTGTCGAGCTCCGGCTGGGGCTCATGACCAGATGTTTCTTTTTAGATGAAAGTTGCTGTCGTGTCCATGTGAGGTGCCCTCTCTGATGAAAGGTCGGGCCTGTCATTTGTCAGTCGTAGATAATATTAGTCCATTGTCACTATGTACGTTTATTTACAATTTAGTCTTAATATCTAGTATGTATAATATATATTTTTTAATATCAGATTTAGCTGAAGTTGTTGAATGACACTGTAAAATAGATCTTCGTTCCAAGAATTGATCACTCCGAACAGATCCATACAACTTCTAACACCAGTTGTCCCATGTAGCGGTGTCTAAGACATGGGTTTGAATTGATGAATCGGTTTATTGGATTTTCACTAGTTGTAACTACATATAATTGTAACAATTTCAATATTTCTGTAATTTTAGCATACAAGTCTTCAATTCAAATGTTAAGTCTTCTCAAGTCTTCTACGAACTTCCTGTGGCTGTCTCCTACCGACAACTGAACTGAACTGCTGGTGTTATTCTTGTTATATAGCCTTCGCATGGACCACGCACAGAAAGCACAGTTCTGTTGTTGCATAAGGAAGACCACATAGAGAACAAGTCACGTGATTCCTCTTCATTGGATTCGCTGTTGCCTAGCAATGCGCAATAAAATTGGTCCACTGAGACACATCTTCCATTGTTGCACGTTGACCGTGTTTACTGAGCCGTTGCCTAGAAACCTTTTGATCAAATCCATTACATCTCATCCATCAGAATTGTTAATCCGCATACAGGTTAATTCATAAGACCCTCCGGAACTTCTGAACTCGGCAGCGCAGCAACCAACACAGCAGAAAGAGCATATCAGTAGGTACAGAATCTCTCTTAAGTTTGTTCAGGGGAATAGGCACTGTGGCGCACTTGCAGGTGTCACCGCTAGGAGGCAGTCATAGCGAAACATGACGAGGACAGGGGATAAGAAAGTGTTCTGTGTCCTGGAATTTTCAAAACCTTGAGTCAGTTGTGACAGTGCAACTGAGATTTCAGACCAAGAACCACACAGAATCACCTAGGGACAAAACAGTTCATGAGAGGTACAAGAAATTCCAGCAGAGGAATTAGAACAATTACATTTCAAACATTTATCGGCATTTTTGTGCTAAAATTTTGGGTTTCTTTTCTCAGTTTTCGTTTGATGCTAGCTACGCGTTAAGCAAAATATAAATTCAGCAGGAAGGGGTTATATCTATTTTAATGTAAGAAATTTGGACGGGTACATTAGGGTGTAATGAAAACCAAAAAGGATTTGTCATGTAAAAAAATATAGGTAACACCGTTTTAGAAGTAGAAACCGGTTTCGCGTGAATTTTCTGTTAGATACGTGTATGTAAGTGATATTCGAAAGGGCAGTGTGTCGGTATATCCAATTGGAATACACTTGCAAAATCGTGTGTAAATTACATTTTTGTTTTCCTCTGTAGCACTTCGTGCGCCAGCAGTCAGGCGATTAGGCTATAAGTGTCAGTTAGGTGTTGGAGAAGTTGCCTAATAGGAGAATAATTAGACGTACAACCATTATTGGGAGATGGTTTGAAACGAAACACTGTCATTAGTGTTTCTGTGTGTCCCAAGCATTGGATGAAGCCACTAAAAACCCTTGATCACTGGTACTCTTACAAATGACTTTCTTTGTTTCAATCACTGACAGACTGTCCTACTTTGAGCATGTATGTACCAAGTGATTATGCTTATTAGTCGGCCTTCTACGGACTGAGCTCAAGGCTGTTACCTTTTTATAGCTATTCAAGCAAGCAGTCTTCCTGTATTGTAGAGATTTAATGGATAAGCAAGCTTTTTAATTTACTTGTATATATTTACGTCTCAAATGCAGCTTATCACCTTGTCCTACTTCTCTGTAACTGTATGTTTTGATCATACACGGCCATCATCAGGTGCACATCTATCTTGCCAAAACTGTTCCACTGTATGTCAACATTAGATATCGTGTCTGAATGCGATGCTGATTATTAATTAAAATATAAAATTATAATTAAGATTAAAATTGAAACTTCTTTCTTGTAGTCACTAGGCATTCATTAAAATACGAGGGCAAATCGAAGAGTCTTTGCCCCTACTTTTTTTCAGCCACAATAATACACATACAGAGAAATCAAAATACAGGCAGTGTTCTAAGTACCTTTGACTATTTCTCCACATAGTCACCATCCCAGTTCAGAGATTTGTTCCGTTGCACCACTAGTTTGGAGATGCCGCTGTTGTAGAATTCGGCCAGTTGAGCGCATGGAACCACCGCCGGACAGCAGTTTTCGCGTGTGAAATGAACCTCTGGCCTGCCAGGAACTTCTTCAGTTTATCCTCCTGGATCTCATTGTCACCGGAGATGAAACGTGGGTATTGCATTTCACTCCAGAATCGAAGCAGCAGAGCAGGGTGTGGAAACATACCAGTTCGCCTGTCACGAAGAAATTCCGCAGGACG